GAAATAGTCAAGAGACTGGGTGGTCCCCAGAGCCACTCCGAGGCACATGAATCCGAATGGTTCCCACCTGGTATCGAATTAGTGACCAGCTGTTAAGTCTCAAAGAGATAAGGAAGCCATTTTTTATTTTACAGGAGCTTAACTAAATCAATCCTTTGAGGGTTGAATTTTATGTAGCAGATTTGTCTCGTACGTGGTGTCTATGGTAACGTCACCATGACTCCTTTCGATAAAACATTTTTTTACTTTAACGAAGGAAACGCAGAAACAAGGAGCTTTTGCTGATATTATCGGAGACGAAACTTATTCAGAGCAAGAGTGGACGGTGTGCGAGAAGAAGAAATGTATTTGGTGGAGCGGAAAAATTTGGACCGCCCGATACAAAAATTTCGTCAAGGCACTACGCCGATGAACAGACAGGCGATGAATCCTGTGAGTCACTTAGTTCTCTGAAGGAATCGGGTGCCACCTGGTGACTAAAGTTGACAGCACAGAGTGGAGGGGTGGATATTTGCAGACAAGCTAGTACAAGAGGCGGGAGAGATCCCCGCGTGTTGCCGAGGCAAGGACGCCAGTCGGTGGCTACGTGCGGGGTTCTGAACGTCGGAGTAACAGAGTGCGCTGAAATGTCGGGGACTCCGCGGGACGACCAGATTTCTGTGCACTTAAACTTGCGTAGAGAAACTTCCAAAACGTAACATTCGTCAGCGCGCGTTTGCAGAAATCAGCCTTTGACACATTCCCCCGTCAGGCGAATTCCTTGGTTACCAAGGAAACGGATACGAGATGTTTAGTTTCTTCAAAAAATTCAAACAAGTGACGGATGCGAACAGTGACGGTAAAGGGGATAAGGATAAGACAGGTGCATCGCCCGTTACTCCCACGAGAACGAAGGATAAAGGAGTCAACCGGGAACAGGAACTGGTGAGCAGCTGTTACGACACCAGGAGAACTGATTTAGCTGTGAGTACCGGAACAAAGAGGAAAGATACAGAACGCAGAAGTGGCGAGGTGAGAGAGAAGTCCTCGGTCCATCAGCGAGGTAACAAGAAAGAATCGGTGACGGTGAAGGCCAGCGATAGCAAAGTACCCGTTCGTGAGACGTGTACGACAAAGGTCATGGGCGGTGTAGCGGCGACAATGACCTGGTCAGACGACACGGGCGATATTGGCAGGGACGTAGACTTGGCAATGTCTGAGGCCACCTCCCACACGAACGCAGAGACCAGCCAGGACAAGGAGAAATCGCAACACGAGGTGGCAGGGACACTGACAGCTGGCAACCAGAGAAACGTCTTTGTGTCGCGGGTAACCCCGGTCGAAATGGGAGTCGTGACACAAGTCGACGAAGCTACGCCAAGGGTACCCGAATCTGCGAGCTCATCCGCTTCTCAGGGGAAATCCACGGCGTCCGGGAGGCAAGTGGGACAGGCGGAAAGCGAAAAGTAGGTTCCTAACACGAAGTTTTTAACGTAGTTGTCATATAACATGCAGGTGTCAAAGTCTTGCGATACTTGGTTGCTAGGATACCGATGTTGCAAGCGTAAGAAATTCTTCGAATTCTGTAAGCTAACAGGTTTTTTTTTATTTTAATGTGAAACGTTCAATTTCAACCTAAGGGAAAAATGTATTTTGAGACTATTTAAAAATGGCGATGAGGTGAATGTTTCAAGACGGTATAACCCCAAATGCCCGTCCTGCATTACCATGGGGCTGTTCATCCTGGAGTACAAAAACGTCTTAAAGCACTGCGAGTGTCTCCTCTCTCTCTCGAGAAAGTAATGAGAATCTGTAGGCGCCTCGGCTTCATACGTCTCGTTGTTCATGAAACGACGTGCAGGATGCAAATGAACTGGGAGGAATCTGGAAGGACGCGATCGTTGCGTATTTGAAGGCATTGCTGTAACGTTTATCTTGATAGAAAGAGTAAAACCACGAAAATACTTCACAGGTTCACTGCCATCTGGGGGGGGGGGGGCGAGAATGGGATCAGTGACCTCCCGATTACGGAACAGGGGTATACAGACTGAACCGCGACATTTGGCACTTGGGTTATTTAAAGACGATGGAGTTGTTATAAAATAAAGAGACCCATAATATGTGGGAAATCGAAAAAAAGGAAAGGAGATAACCGGTTATTCCACACCTGAACGCATTACAAGTTTGGAAAATTACAGCTAGGGACCTTGCTCCAAAAATTCATACGTAAAATTTCTTCAGACAACTGACGGTAACCATAATAAACGAGTTAGGAAATGCATTTGAAAAAATTACAACAAATTAGGCTAGCCCTTTGAAACAGAAGCTCGTCTAGATTATATTTAAGAATTCGGTCCGTACCGCGAAGAAAACACTGCACTTCACCATTGCAAAGATCAACTGGTTAACCTTGTTTAAGGAAATAATACGACTAAAACGCTAATTAACCTTTGGAGCCGAAGCTCTTTCAAATGAAACTGAAGAATTCAGTCCGTACCGCGAAGAAAACACTACACTTCACCATTGCAAAGATCAACTGGTTAACGCCGTTTAAGGATATAATCGCTGTTTATTTTGAGAATCTTACGAAAGTACGTAAATACAAAATGCACAGTTATTTACTGTTAAACAATTTATTAATCTTGCGACCCGGGTGTCGATAAAAAATGGTGATTGAGTCTCTGGGCCTGGAAAAGTTTGAGAACCCCTGATAGCAGAGTGGAGCCGTTGTATTATCCTGACATGTGTTGCTACCAAATGGAGCGTTTGTTCCCACTTGCTCTGTGGACCACAGCCTCCCGCTTGCCATCTTATGATAACGAGGAAAGTAATGAAGTCAGCTACTTGTTAACCCAGTTAATTGAACAAGGATTGTGAAATACGCACGCACGCACGCACGCAGAATTCTGTTAGGAAAATTGTTCATCTCCCCATGCGTGCTTCGTGATCAACCCATTACATCCTCTTTGGTCTGATTATCACTGATGAAAGTCTGAATTTTCTTACGTCTCAGAATCAAAATTTTGTACAAAGTAAAAGTTTCATCCAGCTTCAAATACGTACCTACTGGCCAAGAGCCAGTAGGTACGTTCAAGAATGCGTTTGGAAATCGCGGATACTCCAATGTTGAGTACACCTCCC